TTTTTTTTTTTTTTTTTTTTTTGGTACCAGGGATTGAACTCGGGTCCTTGCACTTGCGAGGCAGGCAGCAGAACCACTGACCTAAATCCCCGGCCCTTCCATACATGTTTGAATCCATGATTTTAAGATTTTACTTTATTCTTGTCAAACACAACTGACTTCTGTCTGCATTTTAAAAACGTGGTTCTAGTGATTGAATGGGGGCCTGGAACTTGCTAGGTGAGTGCTGTACCACTGAGCTACACTCAGCCAGCCAGCCATTTATTTGTTTGTTCTCTGAGGCAGAGCCTCACTGTGTAGAAGCCCAGGCTGGCCTCGAACTTGCATTGATCTTCCTGCCTCAACCTCCCAAGTGCTGGGACCACAGGCCTGCACTGTGACCCTTGGCTTTACCATTATTTTTGTCAAATAAAAAAGGAGGGAGCCATCGCTCCAGCGCTGGGAAGTAGCCTGGCCCCCCCATCCACCACGGGAAGGAGAGCCACCCCTTTTCCCACCCCAGCTGCCATCGCTTGAGTGCCAGGAAGGTAGCCGCACGGGCGTCCCTGAACCCCCTAACACCCCCCACACACACACACTCTCAGACCTCCTGACTGTGCCAGTCTTTGGACCCGCTCTGCAGAGGCAGAGGTGGTCATCAAGGGTATTTTTCTGAGTTTCCAACTTTGAACATCTTTAAAGAAAGGGTGTGGGAAACCTGTAATAGAATGTTGTGGAGTTCAACCATTCAGAAGGTTGGGGAACTCAATCTGGGCCTTGCAGCCCGAGGTCAGTCAGCGTCATGGGGTTCAACCATCAGCTGACTGAGACTAGGGGTGTTGCATCCTTGCTCTGTCTGAGCCATTAAATGGTAAATACACTATATTGAAATTTTGTTCACTGCAGACATGTTCTGGACTGCATCTTGATTTCAATTTAATTCAAATGATTTAAGGGTGATAGACTAGTGACTATCACAGGTGGTCATTTTCTAAGTTGTGCTTGATCTTAATGTGTTGCTGATTGTATCAGTTGGGATAAAGCATTGCGGTTAATTTGATGAGCTGTTTTCTCTGATGTTATGAAGATGAGAATGTCTGTGGGTTGTTAGAGACACAGAAGCTAGGGTGCAACTATATCAGGAAGATTTGGGTAATAATCCAGAGATTAAACCAAGGACAGTCCAACAACAAAAATAAAAATGAGAAAACACTTAAGCAAGACACAAGGACAGACTTCCAGTTCACCAATGGCAAACAGTAGGGCAAATGAGGATGAAAAGGCCTATAGTGAACCACCAGGACACCCTGAACTCAAAGCATAGGAAGTAACAAAACAGATCAATCAGGCTCTAGAAAAATTCAAAACAGAAATAATTTCCCAGATAACCATAGAGATAGTGAGCAAAATGGAAGTCGTGATTCGAGACTCTAGAGCAGAAACTGACAAAAAAATAGATGAGCTCAGGACCATGATAGAAGCCATGAAGGCCCAGCATAAGAAAGAAATGGAAAAAATAAACGCCCAACATAGGAAAGAAATGGAATGAATAAAACAGATTCAAGCAGATATCCAGGAGATTAAACACTCTGTAGAAAGTGTACGCAAGAGAATAAAAGAATGCGAAGATAGACTCTCAGATATAGAAGATAAGATTGCAGTCAGTGACCATGAAAAGAGAGGTCTCTTAAAAACAGTAAGAGATCATGAGAAATCGATCCAACAACTCCTAGATGATGCAAAGAAGAATAACATAAGACTGATAGGAATACATGAAGTAGCAGGAGAAAATACAAATGACTTAAAAAAGCTGTTTGCAGAATTAATGACAGAAAACTTCCCAAACAGAGGGGAAGAATTTGACATTCAGATAACTGAGGCATATAGGACCCCAACTAGCTACAATCAAAAAAAATCTACACCTAGACATATAATAATCAAGATCCCAGAAACCCAACAGAAGAACAAAATACTACAAGCAGTAAGAGAAAAGAAACAAACCACATACAAAGGAAAGCCCATCAGAATCACAGCAGACTTTTCAACACAAACCCTTGGGGCAAGGAGAACCTGGAATGAGATATTCCAAGTACTAAAAGAGAACAACCTCCAACCTAAACTGATATATCCTGCAAAACTCTCTTTCAAAATGGATGGGGAAATAAGACACTTCCACGACAAAGAACACCTGAGAAACTACATGAGTACCAAACCAGCACTACAAGCAATTCTAAACAAGATCCTAGAAAAAAGACAATGAAGGCAACAACAGCATGAGGTCCATCAGAGCAAATCAAATAGGCAAGGCAAGAAATTAAAAGGAGAAGGTGAAAAAGTAAAAAGAATCAACAAAAAGCCAATGACATGTCAATAATGTCAGTACATATCAGTTATAACCATCAATGTCAATGGCCTCAACTCACCAATCAAGAGAAATAGACTGGCAAAATGGAATAAGAAGCAAAATCCAACAATGTGTTGTATACAAGAAACACACCTAGTGCAAAAAGAAGCCCATAGGCTGAAAGTGAAAAGATAGAAAACAATTCTCCATGTGACAGGAGCCCAGAAAAAAACAGGGGTAGCAATCTTATCTGCAGACAAAGTAAATTTCATACCAAAACTGATTCTAGTATTATTGATGTAGGATGGTACTCTGTATCATGCCTCTATGATTTTTTGTTTTGTTTTGTTTTTAATGGAATGTGCTGAATGTCTACAATTTTGTTCAGATGACTGCAAAACCTGGAAAAGCTGTTGCTGCTATTGATGGTGCTGCCAACTTTGGAAAAAGTCATCCCAATTTACTGTGTTGACTTGGCATTGTACAGAAATGGACAACCATATTGGTCTAGAAATGTTAATTTATTTTTATTTATTTTTTTTTCCATGTGTACAGGGGTAACACATCATACTAAATATGTAAGGTCATATCTATGTGGGTTGGATTACAGAAACTAATAAAGTATTCTCTAAATAATGAAAAAAAAGAATAAGATAAGACTATAAGAGCAAGAAGCAATTTAAATATGTTCAGGGACCATTTTTGTCTCCAGAATTAAGGATTATTTTAATGTTACATCATTGCCTTTTCTCTTTTACTTTCCTTTTTAGTTTTATTTTAGGACTCTCTATTTTTAATGTTCATACAGACATTTCTTTAACTGAAATACCGAATAGTTTCTTTGGGGTGAAAAACTATAATAGTACATGATCCTAATGAGATAATTGATCATGTGAAATAGGAAGAAAAGGACTAAAGGTGTAGGGAAAGTGGGAAGGGTAGGGGAAAGGTAATAAGGGAA